TATTTTGAGCCATTTATTTGATTATATATTTTGTGAACAATTTTGCATCTAATTAAAGAAACTATCGTCTCAGTTTGGAGACCTTTAATTTAAAACAACGGTTATAGACCATATGATGCTAACCAAATAGAAAAGTTCAATTTGTAATTGTTCTAAACATTTTTGTAAATAACTTGGTGTTTACAAGTTATTGTTTTGATAATAATTAACGAATCCTAACGTTAACGGATAGGTTTGGAGTAGCACCAATGAGCGAGGCGGAATTAGCAGCTGCTATGAACGCGACCCTAATCAACCCAGCCTGCGGCTAGGACTGCCTGGAAACTAGTACCGGGCAGGAAAAGAAATAAGTTGAAGCGAGTGATCCGAGAAAACAAAAAATAACTGAATCAGAGGTAATTATTAGTAATAGCTTCCAAGTCCATCCTGATAATAATGATCGATGCCAAACCCCACCTGATAATGTACCATCTAACGCCACCTCAGATCCAGCTCCAATCTTCATCACAGGAGTAGAAAACTACGTTGCGTTAGTCTCATATCTGAAAGAAAATAAAGGCCCCAATACTTTTTTAGTAACATCAACATTTAAGGGAGTGACTGTTTACCCTGCAACACCAAGCGACTACCGAAAACTATTTAATTGTCTGATAAACAACGGCACAGAATTCCGCACGTGTCAACTCGTCAAAGATAGGAATCCTCGAGAACACACCGATTGTTCCACACTAGACACGCTTTATTTTGATTGAAAATTATATAGTTAGCTTGATTCAATAAAATTTATTTCATCAGGCTAGTTCAACGGAAAATATGAGAGCCATAGCAGATAAAGTCGAATTTTCTTCTATATCAGAAAGAAAAAAAATGGTAATGGTGAATTAAGGAACTATCCGGAGTTCGGTGAATATATTATAGAATTGTCATCCCACATTATAGAAATTGTTGGTAACATAATTGATGACACTTATGATAAACTACATTAGGGGAAGAAATTCTTAAAAGAATTATTTTAAATTAGCATCGACAAATGATGAATATGGTTTAATTAATCACGGGATAATTAATTATTTATCAGAAGAAGAAAGAATTTACTATAGCTTTGACAAAATTAGATCTGAAAAAAATAATTTAAATGTAAATTTTCATCCCACCGAATTTTAAAATTCATTGAATGTTAGCGGATGGCACCTCATAAATTAAAGTTTAAAATAAATCCTATAGTTATGCTCATTCGGAACTTAAATACTGAAAAAGCTTTAGTTAATGGAACACGATTGAGAATGAAGTGCTTGTGCTTGCATCGCAACACGATTGAGTGTGAAGTATTAACGGGAGCTGCTGTAAAAAAAATAATTTTGATTCCAAGAATTAATATAACAATTTCTAGGATAATACTCCCAGTTGAATTTCAGAGAACACATTTCCCCGTAAAAGCTGCGTTTGTGATGACCATAAACAAATCGCAGGGTCAAACTTTTGAAAAAAAAAAATGTAGTATTATTGCTACGACCAGTATTTTCGCATGGTCAATTGTATGTAGCAGCAAGTAGATTAGATCACGTTCGTATAACAGTTTGGAATTTCATGTTCACAATAACAATGGGAACTTCAAGAACAATAACAGAACATTCACAAAGAACATTGTTTACAAAGAAGTTCTATATAAAGATTGATTAAAATTGAATTGAAATCGCTAATTATAATTTATTTTTTACTTGCTTAATCATTAATTTATTGCGATAATAACATAAATAAATCAAAATTAAAATTAAATATTTATGAAGAAGTCCATTTTTGTATTACTTATAAATACTTTCAAATAGTTTAAGCTTGATTTTTAAATGAAATTGAAATTTTGTTTTTATTAATAAATGAGGATTTTTAAATAGTTACTTACTCTTTTTTTTTAATTTATTTTATAATATAATTATATGTTTTCCTCAAATTTTCAATGGTTATGGTCGAATTTCGACCACTGGGCCATATAAATAGGCAATGATAAAAAGTATATTTTTCACCTCTGTTTCTCAATCCAATTTTCTTTTTTTCTATTTTGTTGTTTCTATGGCCAGCTTTAGTATTAATATTTATAATATTTTATTTATTTATTACTTTTTTTTGGGAGGGGAGAGGGGGAAATTGTAGAATACAAATAAAATTGTAGATGTTACTTCGTTCGAAACCGCTAACATTTCTTCACCAATTTCTTTAAATTTCAAACAATGTTGTAATAGAATTAATTTCATTAGCATCCGACCGTTTCTCCAAAATGGCGGCCGAAAAATATGTGTAATAGGCCATAACGGCTGTAATTTCTAGTATTTAACTGAAGTTAAATTTTATTTCTCATTATTTTATCTATTTTATATACCAAATTTCTATTTTACAATGATCTATAAATTACGCAATAGAAATTATTGTTAAAAGAATCAAATTCAAACATATCTGTCTGATTTGATCCTTAGGTTGTTTTAGAAACAATATTGCATTAGGTACTGGTTTATTGGTCTTCTGAATAAAGGGGTAAATATGTCAAGTGCCAATCCAGAAAAATTTTAATATATAATCTTATTATAAATAATAAAGAAATAAATTTAAAACAAATAATGCATTTTAATAAAATGTTTTTGGATTTTTTAATGTAAACAGATTATGGTAAATTTACTAGGTCAATTATCCTTCTAATTACCTCTATATTACGTGTATACATATTCTTTTTCAATAACTGTGGTATTAACTTTTTAAATCAATTATTATTCTTTTATTATGTGGCTTTCTTGATGGCTTTTCCTCTTTATTTTCTTCATTACTCCAAGTTATGGAAATAGGAATTGCTCTTGAATTTATGTAAAATTATAATTTATAAATGACTTATAATATGAGTTTTAGAAATAAATTACCATTGTACTTAGATGAAATAAATAAATAACGATAATAATAAAAGAACATTCTTTGTTCAGAACCTTTTTCGAACTTAAAAACACGTTAAAACACCTGTGTCAATTAATTACCATATCTTAAAATAAAAAAGCTTAAATGAAGAAAATTAAAAGTAACAAAGTAAGCGTATGTGGATAAAATGAAGCAGATTATTTTATAATAAGAATATGAAGTAAAAATTAATGCTATATAAAATGAATAATAATAATAAAACACGAACATTATAAATTAATAACAAAAGATAAACTACAACCAATGATTCAGAAAACCTCTTAATACTTCAGGAAAAACGTTAAGAAGTTTTGTACAATATAGTTGACCAAAGAGTGGCTCGAAACTCTAAAAAGAAAAACTTTTTGTGAAATATAGCCTCTTCCTAAAGACATAAGAAAAACATTTCTTAGTTAAACTAAGTAAGGAAGCTATTTATATCACGAGTCTTCAAAACACATCTGGAATTCCTTACTCGAATGTTTCAAAAGTCCATACTCCCATTATTTTTAAGCGATTTTACAAATTAATTTTAATTTAGTGCAGTTTGTTTTGCTAATATGATGAATATGTGAGTTGAAGTGGAGTCGGTTGGGTACACTTTTCAGGTTATTCTGCATGAAAACTAATATAGACGTGTGAGAAGAGACGAATTTGTAATAACTCGTTTGCGAATAGGACACATCCGCTTTACCCATGGTTATCTGCTGACAAAAGAATAACCTTTAAAATACCTGGATTATCAAACGGTCCTAACAGAGAAGCATATTATTGAGTAATGTCAAGTTTTTAAAAAAGATAGGAGTTAATACAAGTTTCAAGAAAAATGGGAGATGATAACCATCGAAGTTTTTCGCCCTTTAAATAAATATATATATATGAGTAATTGCATATTGTTAATTGTAAAGTCTCTTGTAAAAGGCAGATCTTTGGGATTCAGCAAAACAAGCATACATGACATATAAGCAGCTCTTCGAAAAATTGTTTAAGCGCCAAAACATATTTCAAATCATACTATAGATGCCACTTTCAACTAAAACACGTGATCTTAATCTTTAATTCACGACTAATTTACAACAAAACAATTATTGAATCCACGCTCTTTCCTGTTACCTGGAGATCTTTCAGAGAAATCAAAGAAATAGTTATATAAAAATTTTCGTTGTTAATTAGATTTTAAAAAATGGAATAATTAGGATATTCGCGATTGACGCATTTTCTCCTAGGGTCGGGTAACGGGTAAAGTTGACTTCTACTGAAATTACAAAACCTTCAATAAACTGGAATGGAGAAATATTACCCTAAAAACTCTGTATAACAGAACAGCTATTCATTTATCACATAAAAGAACAATTGAAAACGGGAAACTTCATTAACTATGAGATTGTACTTTATTAATTGAGATTCGAGCTATAGAGAGTCCCCAGAGTAAAGCTGCTTAACTGAAGTTAAGATTAGAAACGAAATTCATAAATAATTAATACGAATAAGGAAGAACCACTCAAAAGATTTTCGTAATATTGTTTTATTATTTAATGACATATAAATACATAAATTATACAAACTAATATTTACGTTTTTCCCGCATATTAAAACGGAACGAAAGACCCTTCACAAACGACTCGAACTGCATTATCCACTTTATTTAAATCTTTAAAACCCAGATAGAAACTGAATATACCTATAAGTATGCTTACGTAAATCGATAGGGACATATCCTTACAAATATATGGTATTCCAAAAAGACCCTCTACAAAATAAAAAGGAATGGCCAAGAAATCGCAAGATACAAGAACGTTTTCTCACCAAAATGAGTTTTGAAGTTCAGATTACTCGCTAAAAGAATCAAAATTCTTGAGTATTTGAACCATAGTAATGCTATACTTACTACTATACCAATGGGTGTGAAACATGAACCTTGACCAGAAAATCGGAAATGTACATACTCAACTCCTGAGAGAGAAAGCTGTTAGGAAGAATATAGGGTGTAATCGCTTAGAACGGGATTCGGAGAAGAAATAAGAATAAGGAGCTGCGCGAACTGTTTGGAGAACTTTGTGGAATTTCTAGAACAAGCCCGAATAAGGAGGATAGGAAGTTTTGAGAGAAAGTCCGATCAAATAATGCCAAAGAGGAAACTCTATGGGAAACTGGGTGACAAGAGTACTAAAGGACTCCCTTGGAGCAGATGATTGTAGGATGTGTAGGACAATCTGAGGCGGAGGACTATTTGGGTGTTCGGAGACGGAAATTGGTTGACTGTAGTGGAGGAGACCCGGGTTTCAGCATGAGCGTAGTGCCATGACAATAATAATAAATACAAAGGAATTTAGGTTCAATCTCTTTTTAAAGTAATCATTATATTTGGGCTTATTATTCTCTAAAACTAACTGAGAATATCTGTTTTGAGATTCCGACTAGTTATGAACCAATAAGCTCGATGGACAAGAACAATGTTAATGAACTGAATGAGCCACACTTTAACAAAGACTTTCCTTATCATTACCACGATATAAAGACAATGTGGTAGATGGGAAAAAAGATATCTGGGTCAGATGCAAACGTATTTAAAAGAAGGTTATAGATCATTCTAAAGAGTTGATCAATAACAACTTATTTGTATCTCAATAACTTTTATAATGTACTTCATTTGAAAAATAACAGAAAGAATTGGCACATGGCATGCCCCATAGCACCCACGTTCTCCTATATAAATGATTTCTTTTCGTTCACAGGTGGAATATTTTTTTTTTAAATTAGGCAACCGTATATAAATTTTACCCTCCTTGGTAAATAAAAAATCGTCTGCGAAGAAAGGCCAGTATAGTTTCCTCACCGTTTTCATTGGCTAAAACATTAAAATATTACAAGGTATACAATATTTCGTATGAGAATAAAATATCTGGCAGAAGCCGATTCGGAGATAAAGTTACCCTTCAATAATCGCGGTTTTGATGTACAGGAATTTCGTTTATCAACTAATATTAAAATGTCAAAGAGTGCCGTATTTGAAGATTCCATATTTGATTATCCTTAATTAAAAAAAATGCATACTGAACATGCATTTCACAACTGTTAGTGCAAAAGGTCGTATGTAAAAATAAATTGTTTTGCCAAAGTGCATAAAAACTCATTATTTCTTTATGCTTTATTAGTATAATTTCATATTTTATTGTCATCTGCTATGTTCTATAGTTGCAGACTACTTATATCTTTTGCAGACTAAAAAATGTCACCTTTAGCACAAATAGAATAAAAGTTGAAAAATTTACACACGATCTTTTTTACTAATAGTAGTGATATATTTAATAGGTATGTTTTCACTCGTAAAATCGATGGGACTAGAAAATTCATAGGAAAGATTCAACTTGTTGTTTGGTCGGAGTTAACGAGATCAATACTTTTCTTCAGTCAGAACAAAACTAATTGAGCTGGAATATAAAAATATGAGTGAAGTTTACACAACTTCGATATTTAAAGAGTAAATTGTGACCAAGAGGAACTGGTTGAACTTCAATAGAAATAAACACAATCGCAAATACGACTTTTATTTTTACAAAATTCAGAGAACAAATTACTTTAAATTAACTGAAAATTACACGAAATTTAAGTAAAAGCTATAAGTGTCATGCCAGTAACGTTTGGAATCGACCAAACAATACAGTACAAATTAATTTTTTGAATAAAATCTAAAATTTTATAACCTCATAACAATATTGTAATAACATAACTCCCACTCCGTATGATGAGTGCCTTACACATTTCACAGCCATTATATTGTTAACAATTATTTTAATTAATTTTAATTATTAAATGGAATTCAATGAAATTGACACTAAGTAACTTCTATACTGTTCCCCAAATTTCTTCCAAGTTTGGGTCAAATCGGATACACCGTTTTCAAACTATAGGTGTATTAAATAACACATTTCCTGATCTGAAAGCGGAAGTACTTTTTTCCTGAGTAATAGATAGAATTCGATAATATTGATGCCTATTTCATTTTACGTTTACGAATCCCTAAATTCCCTCAAAATTTGAGCCAAATCGAACTTGTGGTTTTAGAGATATAGACGTAACAAGGAAAACACGTTTGCGCATATATAAGAGAAAGCAATGGACAGAATTGTATAAAATTTACCTTACATTATTTTATCCTAAATATTTATGTTTTATCCAACTTTGAGCTAAATCAAACAAGCAGTTTCTGAAATATCTGAAATATACAAAAATGTTTATGCGCGTGTGTAAGCGGAACTTCTGGTTAGAATTTAGTAAAATTGATATTTGATATTGACACAATTTCTGAAAATCGGATAAATGGTAGTAGGTGATTTACTAGTAATATCGATCGTTACCTTGATGTCTGAAACGTAAAACGCGAGTGGAAATTTTCGATTCTGAGCATATTTTTTTTTTAACCTCTCGCACAAACACGATGCTTCTCTACCTTCGGTAGTGAGGAAGCAATATGGTTAAGAATTCATTGGAAAATAATTGAAATTAGCAAAATAAAAAAAAACAGTTAAATAACTTAAAATCAAATAGTTAATCTGGTAGTGATGTCCAGTCTTCAAATATAGAATGAAAAATATCGCTGATATTATTTAATATTTAATTATATAGATTACATAGATAGATATAAATATTAAAACTTGTATATATATATATATATATATATATATATCGGTATTTGAACAAATAATAATTCTCACAATGAAATATAAATAAATGGAGCTGCTTTCTTTATCAATGGCACTCTTGTTGGACTAAAAATATTTTCTTGGCACTTAATTATTTATCATAATGAAATAATTTAAATAAACAGTCGTAAAAGGAAATGGATACTGTCAAACAAAATAAATATAATACATTAGACGGCTATGAAAAACATATATTGTTTAAAATAATGTTTTCTTGTTTCATTGATTCATTGTTTTAAATATTTTTTCTTACCATTTATAATATCAGAACTCTTAGAGGGGCCATAGGAAAACTAAACTGAACTCTTGAAATCCAAAAATAATTTTCGAACAAAATTGTGCTGGAACGTTTACGACTCCACGTAAACATTCCAGGTGAAGGGTGAAAATTTATCTACGATTGGTGTTTTAATAGGTCCTCAGTGAGTACAACCGATAATTATTAGTGTGTTTTAATCTAGGAAGCGTAACGAAAAAGGCTTTCGAACATCAACGTATCGAAAATATTTTTTTGCAACTTGCGAGGCTTATATAATTTTTTGGTCAACTTTATGGCAAAGGTTCATTATATTAATTTTTACAACTGTTAGGGGGGAGGCATAGAAAAACTCAAAAGAACTCCTGAAATCCAAAAGAAATGTTCGACCAAAATTTTGATAGATCGTTTACTGAGTCCGAAGGTTGAAAATTTATCTACGATTGGTGTTTTAATAGATCCTCAGCAAGTAAAACCGATAATTATGGGTGTGTTTTAATCTAAGATGCGAAATAAAAAAGGTTTTCGAGCATCTAAGTATCGAAAATATTTTTTTGCAACATGCGAGATTTATATCTATTTTTTGGTTAACTTTAGAGCAAATGTTAATTATATTAATTTTTACAACTGTTAGGGAGGCCACACGAAAATTCAATAGAACTCCTGAAATCCCCCAAAAAAAAATGTTCTACCAAAATTGTGATGGAACGTTTACCAAGTCCGAAAGGTGAATAAACTTCAATCTCCTTTGTCTTAAAATAGCTATTTCTCTAATAAGAGGGTGATAGGTGAAAGTTGTGTTATGCGCAACATCACTGCGCCGGATTTTTATGGTTGTTCAATCCAATTTTTGTCTGGTGACATAAAATAATGGCAAGCATAAATCATTAAAATAATAATAAAGTTAATACTTGACTATATACTGACCTGGTATAGGGAGACGAGAGGTAGTATACAGTGGGGGTGAGGGGGAGCCGAGAGAGGTGGCGCATCCCTGGCAGCGGGGGCCCTGCCCAGAGCAGGTTGTAGCTGTGCCAGCGCCAGGACATGAGCAAGGCGCGCAAAGCTCTCGTACCCTGAGGCACTCCGGGCCCCAGCCGCACAACGCTAGCACCAAGTTCCTCCTGCCAACATACATGTATACATTGTTTACATTTACATTTGTTACAAAAGATGTACAATATAAATTGTTTCAAATGCGTAAGATCTACATAAGATAAAAGCTCTGCTCTCATGGTTGTAACAACTAAAATCGATTTTAAAATGTAATATGACAAATCCATGTCAGTCGGGTCCGAATTGTAGTTTCCTACAATCAGAATTGGAGAGTTCTTCTTAAGTTTACAATAATATCAATTTGCAGTCAGTCGAAGATTCGTTCAATTTCTGATACCAGAATTACCACACTATTAACATGTGAAGGTCAGGGGCTCAGTGGTCACCAATTTAAACCAAATACCATACAATTTCCAGACATATTTGATACGATATAACTCTGGGGCCGATTAAGTCCTGGTACTAAATGTTTCCACATGTCTTTATTAAAAAGTGTTATAAAATGTACAAGTTTCATTCCACTCAGTCTCTTTTATGATATTCAAATTCAAATTTTTCCCGATAATTACTTATGGCCGTTTTTGAAAATTCATATATAAAGAAGTACAACGTTTTCAAGATTGTCCAAGTAACACACTGATAGGATTACATATTAAAAATTAAATTTAAGACTATTTTCATTAATGTATCTTTTTATGTTAATTTTAATTTTATAGTTGTCACTTTTTTTTACAACTCTCCTTACTACTTATGAGATATATTATGAGGACAAAAAATACTTATTTCTCTAAGAAAAGGGTGATAAGTGAAAGTTGAGTGATGCGCTACACCGCTGCACCGGATTTTTATAACTAATATATACTCTTGTGTTGCCTAAATGCGAGGCCGAGACGAGTCTCGTTCTTGCAAACTCAGTCTTGATCATTGCCTTGGTCTTGCGCAAGAGTCTCGCAACAGTATTTCAGTTACTTATTAGCTTATTGCTATAGAGATGTTACTGTAATTTTTTGGATAGAAGAAACCTAAATAAGCCCAAATGAAAAATTAGAGGAGTTAAATGCTAAAGTATATCACCACTCACTAAGCATTGTGAGTAGATAAAATTTGTTTTCCTTAAGTTCTAATTTGTTATTCATGGAATGTATTTCAGTGAAATGTATTTTATTTCTAATTATCTTCAACATACTTCTCGCTATGTGTATATATATATATACTTTATTTTATTTTCTCTTCTCCTAATCTTTACGCATAATCACTTAAATATCTTAGGGAACATATGTATATCATTATTTGTTTTTTTATATATTTTTTTGTTTAGTTTTTACAATTTCTTTCCCACACATATTAACAGTTATTATTATTTTTTTTAAATTTTTATATTCCATCACTACAATGGAACACCTATAAAACCAACACCTATAAAATAGATTTTACTTTCATTTATAATTTCATTCAGTGATTATTATGCAATTATTTTAGCTCCAATAATGTATTACTGAACCCCTATTACCAAACTGTCCTCGTTAATTTATCCTAAGAGCTTAATTAATACTTAATGTATTACATGTATTTACAGATTTGTAGTTAATATATATGAACAATACTGTTATTCTAAAGGGACCTAGTCCCAGAATAAAGATGATTTTTCTATTCTATTCTATTCTATATTGGTTATGCAATTTTTTTAAGTATAGTAACAAAGATTGTCAAGTATTAGTAACTATTTTCTCTTAATTTTTAGTCAAAAAATCGACTTTTTTTACCAGTCCTGGTCTTGGTCTTGCAAAGTGTAAGACCAAGACCGATTTTGGGCATCACTATGTACCACATACTATATAATATAAAATATATACTACAAATGTTAATTGAAAAATGATGACTTACTTGAAGGTAGAGGTGGCCGCCAATCCAGAGGGTGGGGAGGGCTAGGAAGGCAGGTACGAGGGCCAGCGGCGGAGGGGCGGCGAAGAGGACGGCGGCCACCACCCTCCGCCCGCCCCAGGCCTCGCAGAGCCCGCTGAGGCCCGCCTCGGCCGGCGTGAGGAGGGGCCGCACCGGGCCCCCGCTCAGCGCCCGCTCCAGGCTTCGCCCCAGGCCCGCCTCCGACTCCGGGTACACCACTCCAATGTATGTCCTGCAATTCAATTAGCCTTCATTAGAGATGTATCCTGGTAATATAATTGAGGTAATTTCTTCGCGGCGAATCAAATGGGCTTGTAAAGTTGTTGGGCTTAGTAACGAGAGAATTCCTAAAAGGTTAATATTTGCTGTGCCGAATGGTAAGCGTCCGAGGGGTAGACCGAAGCGAAGATGGGAAGATTGCATTAAAGCCGATCTGAAGGGACTGGGTTTGGACGGCGAACGGTGGAGGGAGGTGTGTAACAAGCGATTGGTGGTGTCGGCATCGAACCTTCGGGTTCGCTAAGCCTTATTATTATTATTATTATTCATTAGAAAACAACAGTCATGCGGTACTCATAAAAGTGGCAACTGTTAAAATAAAGAAGGAAATCGATTGTAGCTTGAAGTGGAAACGTGTCGATTTATGTTTATGCTATATATTGTCTATTATTGAGTTATATTATTAGTTAGCGTGTTTGTATTTGTATTGTTTATCGTTTGCGTTGTTATTTTTTATAGTTACAATACATTAGAATACATCAGAATATACAATCCAGATGAACATAATGCATCGAAGAGTTATTGAATCAATTCCATCCCAGGACCATAAAACGAACTTACATTGTATACAACAAATTACAAACAGTACCAAACCTCCTTGGTGTCACTATGATATAAATATAAATATATCACTGTCGAAAGTTTCCAAAATCTCGATATGTCCAGTTCTAAAAATTCTTATTACTATTAGATGGCTAAAGTGCTCTCGACCAATCTCCGCTGGCTTTAGTACCAGTGACGCGGTTGGGAGAGTAGCGCAGGGTTCTCCTGGAGTTCCCTCGCCTGATTGTATATAGGTATGCATGTGTTTTTTTTTTTTTCTTAGTTTTAATTTTCTTATTTTTTAGGTTATTTTATTTTATTGCCTATTGTATATACTTTTGATTATTATTTTGTTCTATTTATTTTATTTTTTTTGTACATATGGTGTGAATGTCATCTTACCTCACTATAACCAATGTCCAACAGACAGATTGTTATAATACTCAATAAAGAATTCTTAGTTAGTATTACTATTAGAAGAATTGAAAGACTTCAAAGTATTGTACACAGACGCTTCGAAATGTGAGGACTGTATAGTAGGATGTGCGGTGATTAAAAAAAGCGAAACTTTCCTTTATCGATTGCCTGGTGCCTGCTCAATCTTTACTGGAGAGACAACTGCCATAAAGGAAGCGATTCTGATTTGCCAAGCTGATAACTACCAAAAATCAGTCATTGTAACTAACTGATGAGTGTGCTACTAGCAATCCAAATATCTAAACATACAACAATAGTGGATATTTTAGAACTCATTTGGATGAGTAAAAGGGCAGGGAACGCAATAATTGGGCTCCATCCCACGGTGGTATACACGGCAGACATCGCATCCCGAATAGCTCGAACGTATGTTAACAATGAAATAAAATCTGTTGATTATGCTCCTCGGGAGGACTGGGTGAGGCAAGCGAAACTTCAAATAATAGCTGAATGGAATGAAACATGGAAAAGGATCCCTCCAAACTTGCTCTGGATAAACCCAATAGTGCTAAATGGCGTATGAGTAACAGGAGGTCTAGAAGAGAAGAAATTATCCTGTGCCGCCTCGGAATTGGTCACTGCGAATTTTCGCATGGATACCTTCTCCACGGTCGAGAACCACCTACTTGGTCAGGTGTGGTTCTCCCAGAACTGTGAACCACATAGTGGTGGATTACACACATTATGCAGTTATCCGAAAGAATCTTAACATGCATGAGACTATCCGGGACGTGTTGCAGGATGCGAAGAGATAAGTGGAAATCTTACTGGACTTCTTGAAAACAGTTGCTTTCTAAAATAGAATATAAAAAGTGAGTGAATTGAGAAATGTCAATGACTCTAGCGGGTAGAGGAATACAAACAAATATATAAATATTTATAGCTTTCTATATTTTACATACATGATTTATTGTTTATAGTTGGATTTTTGTGATAAGAAGAACTTTGTAGGTTAGGTAACCAAGTGGTTATCAACGAAGTTTTTAACGCCTGCCAATGTAGAATACAACAGACAATTCGGAAATATATGAACGGGCTTTAGGCAACACTATATATTCGCATATATAAGTTGAATGTGTAATACAATTCTTCCCACAGAATCAAAATTTATTTAGGTTAACTCGATTATTGAAATATTATTAAATTTAAAAAAATTGTCGTATTTTATTATGATGGATAATAAAAGTGCCAAAATAGAAGAGGAGTCTGGCAAAAAAGGAACAAACCAAGATCATCGGTCTTCGGCAATATGACCGAGATATAGAACGACTGACACCGACGAGGAAACCGAAGAATGAAATAAAAGGAGCTTCTTGCATGAGAAGCATCCAAAACAATCTAAAAACGGTCCTCAAGAACTTTGATAAAAGAACGAATAATACAATGAGGAATCATATAAATGACAAAGTCGAAAAATTAATAGGTATAATTGAGATTACTTACAGGTATTGTCGGTATTTCAAGAAGAGCAATACAATACAACCACGGAATGTAGAGATGAATAAAAAGAAGATACAATCACAACACGTCCAAAAAGTGGTTAAAGAAACATTGGAATCTCCACATATACTGCAACTCATCACTAGCCAAATTTTAGAAATCTAAATGTCAATTCAGCAAGAATTACTAATAACAACTATTATAAGAAAATTAGAATATAACTAATTACGTCCAAAGCGTCAAACCGAATAAGAGATGATTAAAAGTATATGGGTGGTAGCATAAAAAATATTTCAAAGTAAGTCTTGATCAAAAGAAAAAATTAAAAGGACTTACATCAAAAGAATAGAGCTTTGTTAAAGGGGGAGCAATTAACTGTCAAATAGACTCTCGAGGACCTGAAAACTTTGAAGAAAAGAAATTTTAACAAAAGTTGCAAAAATGGATTACTAAGCACTTATATTTTGAATTCGTATTATTATTGTTTAATTAACCGAAATCCTGATAGGTATACTTAAAATTTGCGAATGTCTATTAAAAAGTTTGTTTTTTTCTAATATGTATGCTGAGAGAGAACGATCAAGAAATTTCTAAATAGTTAAAATATTTTTATATTAAGTACTTTATTCGAATAAAAGTCTAGCAATTATTTTTCGATACAAGAATATATATTTATTTGGGATGTTTAGAGCTAAAGTGGATTAAAAAAATTCTTAGGTTAAAAAAACTGTCACTTGGACAATAATTATAGGGGGATAAGACCAGATTCATACTGTATATAACAAAAGGATAAAATGAACAGAAGAAAAATAACAACTAGATAATAATAATAAAAAAAATTAAAAACACAAATATACCTATACACACTATGTACAAACAGACGAGGGAGCTCCAAACCAAGATTGTCCCTCCAACTGTAGAGAGAAAAGCAGGACTGCAGGAGTTCCCTGCGCTACTCTCACCGCACCAATTGAAATTGAGCAAGATAACATTCACTTTAGTTTAATAATTCTTCTTTGAATATTACATAAAATATGAATTTTTAGAATAACATGTTGTTTTTCTTTACCTCCACCTGTCACGAATGTGACAATCAGCAGACGTGTTATTTACGAAAAACTGATATGTAAAAGTTTATAATAATAAACTAATAATTTTTTTTTTAATTTAGAGAAAATAAGAGAGAGAGAGAGAGAGAGAGAGAGAGAGAGAGAGAGAGAGAGAGAGAGAGAGAGAGAGAGAGAGAGAGAGAGAGAGAGAGAGAGAGAGAGAGAGAGAGAGAGAGAGAGAGAGAGAGAGAGAGAGAGAGAGAGAGAGAGAGAGAGAGAGAGAGAGAGAGAGAGAGAGAGAGTTTAATTATTCCATACTAAGGTTTTAGATAAAAATCAGAGAAATCATTAATTCAATCTGTACTAAACAGAGAGTCGAAAAGGCTTAGTTGAAGTCGTGCAATCAATTACTTAAACAGATTAATTGAAAGGTACTTAAGCCAAATAAATCATGTTAGTGTTCTCCCTTGGAAATCTCTCTTTTGTAGATTAAGTACTCTAATAAATTGCAGCATCGATCGCAAGGGTTTCAAAAAAAAAAAAAAAAAAAGGCGACACCTCAATGAACTAAGGGACCTCATTGAAATATATTTCGTAATGGTTAACACATTTTAATTGATATATTGTTCATGGCAATTTTTTAAATAGTGATAATATCTTTATAAGTATGGAATATGTAATGCGAATCCTCATAAGTTTCTTTAAAATTTATTTTTATCCATAATTATCGAGCATATGATGATAAATAATAAAATTTCTATATAAAAATAAGCGTACCGTTTATCTGTAAGGGAAACCAAATGTATAAACATTTATAATAAAACGAAATAAAAATTATATCACTATTATTTTTATACTAGCGATTTGCTGGAAACCTGATTACAGCCGAATAAAATGGTGGAATCTAAAGTTCATATATAATTGTTTAAATATAAATGGCATTTTAATAACAGCGATAATCGTATTTAAAGATTTATTGTAAAAATAATAGAAAAAGGGGAATTCCAAGACATTGAACTTTGTCAGGAAAATAAATAAGGGCTATGTAAAAAAAAAAGGAAGAAACGATAACAATCCGTAACAACTTCACAAACATTTTTCGTTCAAGTTTGATATTATGCCCCATGTCTTTTTCGAGTTTAGTAATGAATTTTATGAAAAATTCATTCATAAAGAGGTAAAATATCAGTATAAATGAGCAAACATTTATAGAATTTTAATTTAACAATAAATCCGTTTGTTTTGGTATGTTTTACTATATCTTACCATATATAATAAATTAAAAGAACTCATTGCATCAACAAAGTCACAAAATTAAATGTTAATATTTGTTTGGGTGTGTATGTAGCTTGGAAATAGTATCGATTTTTGAAGAGATTTAGCGAAATATTTGCTATAGTTTGTTCCTTGTCATTTGAAAAGCACAATACATAGAATCAATAAAGTTTTAATAAGTCCGCTACGTACCCTCAAATTAGATTGGTTTGTAGGAAATAGCTTGACTACACCTTTGGTTCATTAAAGGGTGTCGAGTAACTTCATCTAATATTGGATGGACTGAGTTCTCTTCGCTTTCACACCTTATCTTTCAATATCTCTCATTTTAGTTTTATATAGAATATATTTATAATGAAATAGAACAGAAAATTTGACTTCATTTTGGAACGAAATACCATAAAAATAACAAAATTTTAGAGGGGAAAAAATATTTAGCTAGAAAAACAAAAAAACGAATTAAAAATGTACACAAAATAAAATTAGCGTAACTATTCAAAAAATACATAGAACCATACGCAAAACAAATAAGAAATGGAACAAAATAACTGTGTATTGATGATGTATTAGCTTGGTGCCTAAAATGTGGATAGTATTTTTAGACAAAATTTCCAACAAAAAAGTTCATTTGATGTATGGGACGATTATTATCGGAAAATGAGTTAAGAATAATCTAGTGATTTTTTTTAAGGTGGTCATGGTTTTTATTGAATAAGAAAAAAATGCTGAAAAACTATTCAAGATAATGACATTCTAAGTACACCATTGTAAATTAGACAAACTTTTTTATGATAAAAAAGGGGTTAAATTTACTTAGCTTTTATTTTGATTTTTTTTTATGTCTTAATGATATTTACAACTGTATTAAATAAATACATTTAGTAAGTTTGAACATATGGGTATAATGACAAGAAAACACTTGTTGAGTAACTAGCCAATGGTAGCACTCTAGTGATATATCTACGTTAGAAGATCACGGATCCGTCTTCTTTTCAGACACCTCGGAGGGTTATCAGGAATTGAAGAGGAAGCAAGGTTAGAAACGAGAGGGTTGGGATGATTCTGAAGTTAATCATGAAATGATAGGTATCTGGATTGGGCCAGATATGAAACATAAGAAACATTAAGCTCATTATGGATGGTTTTATTTGTAACAAAGTAGAGAGCATTGAGGATTTTACGAAGGATTTTGGATTGTAAGGATTGGATACGAGAGGAATTCGATGGTTTAGTGAAGCCCCATAGTTCAACTCCGTAAGTCCAAATAGGCCTTATTATAGTCATGTATATGAGTCTTTTGTAATTAATTGGAAGTTTAGAGCGTTTTCCTAGTAAATGCTGAAGTAATCGAAAACGTCGAGCTGTTTCTTGTCGTTTCAAATTTACTAAACTAAATGATAAAAGGTACTTTCAGGATGTCTAATACGGTCGCTGCATTGCTGTAATTACTGTGTAATTAGACTTCCTGAAAGTCCCTTTTACCTAAGTATATTTAATCACTGTATTTGTATTGGTGACAAAGAAAATTTTGTTTACTTTACGATGCTATATTTAGAATTTAATAATCCTGAATAGTTTTTT